TACCATATCATGCAGGTCATGAGTAAGCCCCACCATATGACCAGCAGCGGTGCCCAGGGTGATTTGTCTGTTCCTCTGTGGGTTTGCTAGCTTACAAACAGGTTACTGCACTCTTGTAAGCTCCATGGGATACAATTATACCTAAGATGAAGATATTATTAACATGTGATGCTCTCCCATATCAAGCTGTCAAACTAATGTCTAAAATGTAAAAGCCTATTGGATGTGATTGGTTGACAACACCACAACTGTATCTCTTCTGTCTATGCCTTTGCCATATATGCCATTTCTTTATTGAAAGGCAATAAGTTCTAGTTCAGCCTTTGGCACAAAGCCATCTGGGTGACTTTGGGCTCAGTCCCAGGAAGAAGGTAATAGTAAACCACTTCCAAAAATCTTGCATAATTGTCTGCAGGGACTTGTCCAGGCAATTGCCAGGAGTCAAGACTGACTTGAAGGTGCACATACCCATTATTCTGTATCTGTAGCAGATCTTGCTACTTATGGGGAAGAGGCAGAGAGTTGTTAGATTCAGGGCTATTGGCTTTTCCAGTGCCTGTTGGGTCAGTACACTGCACATTGAAGTAGCAGTCCTCTCAAGCTGTAGAAGTAGATGTGCTGTTTCTAGCTCAGGGTGAGGCATGAGGTGGTGATAAGGAAAGGATGTGGAATATGGGCAGTGAAATATGACAGGATTTTACTTCAGAGAGTGAACTATTGGAATAACTAGCAGGATAGAAGATAATCAGATACGTTGGAAGGAGTAGATGGGTTCTAATTTATTCGGATATTTCCAAGTAAGGAAACCCTCTCTTACTGTTCCTGGTGTGAATCTGAGTTTGTTTTGAACCTGCTCCCTGCATATAAACATACTGGTCTGTAAGTTAGAGATTTACAAACCCATATCCTACATAGTCCTTGCAGGCTGCACTGTCAGTGTGTATCTGTAACTGCTATTTTTCTATGTCATGGCCCCTGTGCTGTAGTTGGTTTTTTTGGAAAAAAGTATTTCTGTCACTGAATAGGTTTGCAGTGTCTTCTCACAGAATAACTGTACGCTCTTTGCAAACATTCTTTGAGGAACTATGTTAGAAAAATGATTTTTTTTCTCTTTCCTATCTTGTGTGTTCTTTTAAAGTATAACAACAGCAGCAGCAGCAGCAACGACATGAGGAGGCGCAATGTATGACCAAAATAAATGTTTTGAGATTTATAGTTGTGGAGATAACTGCTGGCTGTGCTACAGAGGCTGATAGAGTGGGAATATCGTGGATATTGTGTGTGTTGTTAACTGGGGTTGTGTGTCTGTCATTATTAATTAATTCACCTCCATGTATTGATAGCAAGAAAGCGTTATTATGCAGTTCTCTTATTGAGAGACTCTGACAGTATTTGCCAGAGTCAGTTAAGAACAAATCTGTCATTTTTACTCCTCTGTAGTATTTTCTAATTTTGTATTGTTTTCCTCCCCTCCCACAGCTGGCACACATTGGATACTATTGCTATTTCCTTGGGTTAGCCATTCCCAACATAATGTTAAATATGTTCTCTTTGCTCTGTTCTAAAAACATTTTGACCATTTTTGGTAATTTCAAGATTAATTATTTGCTTAATACCAGAGCAAAGACAATTCGTAATTAACATTTTAAACCATTGATACAATTTGGATCTAGCACAGGAGGACGTTCTTATTCTTTGTATACACTCTTGGAGCCTTAATATTTGTTGATTTTTTATTGATTATAATTAAAATGATGGCTTGTTTCAAATTAATGGATGTCACATTTCTGGATAATGCTGTCATATATTTAATTTACACATATGCTATAGGAAGGTAACAGTGCCATAAAACTGAATTCACATTTGAGAATTCTCAAATTGTATATAATGTTTGTCCCATTGCAAGCAAAAGTATGTGAGAATAGCTGGATTGAGTTTTTTTTAATTTAAGCTATCAATTTATTCTAATTGTGGTTGACAAATTAAATAATTCTTCTTTTAGCCTTACATGTTATTTTAATAATAGCTTTCTTATTTTCTATAAAATATGCTTCCAATATAGTATTTCTTGGTTTCAATTTCATTCTGAGCTAAAGGGCATTGCTGCTACCACCATAGCCACAAGAAGGAAGAATAAATACAATTGAGGGAAACTACATTTCCTTGTGTATTTGTTTTGGTCCTTTAAACTAATCTTAAGTAAGAAATCAGATTAAGGACTGGAGTTTGCAAAGTGAGCTATGTGATGACTCAAGCTGTCTTATCTTTCTTTAAAATGTAGTCAGAAAACCCCCACCCATATAAGTGAGTCTGTTCTTCCCTAAAAGTTGAATCATAAGGTAGACTATGAGGCAGCTGTGCTATCTGGGATGAAGGGAGGCAGGAATAAAACTGATGACTTCCTCTCAAGGGAGGAGCTTCTTTGGAACACTATTCTGTTTCCTGATTTTATGGGAGGAACAGGATTTTAGCTAGTTCCTGATCAAACCCCAAAAGGTACATTGTATTACTAATGAACAATAGCTCTGTCTTTCACTCTTCCTTAGATACACATTTCCCTGATGAAATTATATAACTCAGGTAAAGAGTCAGCTTGAGCAGCAATTCCATGAGAAGCAAGCTATTTAGGCAGAAAAAAACTAATGATTTTTCCCATCCCTCCCCTCTGGCTCCAGAAATATTGAGCAATAGTACCTTCATTCATGATCATGATGGTTAGTATCAGAATTTCAGTGAAAGGAAGCTTGATATTTCTCCCTATCTGTGATCATACTGTCCATCTCCAGTGCAACTATTACTATTAGACAGGGGGAAAAACTCCCAGTTTCACCAATATTATGGCTGTTACTCCCCCCCCTTCCTATGTGATATGACTGCATTAACAATTGCCTTCTTGGATATCTGGAATTTAATACCCAAGAGGTTTTAAGTGTCATATATTCTACATTTTAAATGCCATATATTCTAGACTGTTCCCACCGTGCCGTGTTTCTGCTATAAATTAAAATTTACAATACAGTATCTGCTTGCACAGCATTTCCTAGATTTCTTCTGATTAATTTTTTGGAGAAGTGAACATGAAGATGACAGTGTCAGAAATTAGAATTCATTGGCCCCTCTCTCAATACCACTTGTTACTGCTGAGATGGGAGAGCCTAGAAATGAAGATCTCAGTTCATCAGTTTCTAAACAGATTAGCAAGTTTGTATTTACCCAGTTCTGCCCAGTGGAGGAAGGAGCAATAGTTGTATATAGGTCTATGTAGGTGACTTCATTGACATCTTAAAATAATTGGTTGAGGTTTTCCAATATACAGTATTCATCAATAACAAGACAAATTATTTTCTCTCCAAACTGAGAAAATTCTGTAGTTATTTTGAAAGGCATTCTAAAAGGATCTGACAGTTAAAGATGGCTTGCTCCTCTTTAAAAAGTCCTTCTCCTGCAGCCTTTGATTTATTTGTTAAGAAATGTTGCACACAACAAAGGTTAAAGCTGTATCAAATGCATTCTGTTTGTAGTACAATTTTTCTGAAAATCTTAGGATTGTTGACAATAGCAGGCAAGATGCACTGTGACTTGTGTTCTGGCCATGACCTATTTATCCTGTGTTAGCTTTATGAAGAAGCTTCCTTGAAAAGATTTCTTCAGTCCTAATCTGATTTGTTACATAGGCGGTGATTTCTCAAGCCAAGACTGTTCTTCATTCTCAGATCTCAAGAGGAATGGATTTTTAAGAAATGATCTGTTACACTGTACTTAAAAAATACTTTTAATTGACTGAAATGATGATATAACTGGAAGCTTTTTTTAAAAAAAAATGCAAGTGTATTTTTATGGATGTCACATTTTCTTTCTTATGATGCCTTCTACAGTATGATTCATGTGTTGTATAATCTATTTCAAAACTATAGTTTTACTCATATGCAAATATAATCAAGTTGATTTTAAGCACCTATAATTAATTTCATTTATCAGAAGTTGCCCCTACATTTAAAACAAAGTTAGCACCTTCTCTGTGATATCTAATATTCTATGTATAATTGTGTGATGCCTATGTGCAGGCCTGAAATGGTACAGACCAAACTCAGGGCCTTTCCTTGTAATTCCATATAAATATGCACTGGCAGCATTATTTTTTTGCCATGACATCATCATCATCTTATCCCTGACCCACGAGTTAGATAGGTTTAAGTCCTCCTTAGCTGTACAAATGTCAAAGAAATATTTTATTTCTTATTTTGACACCTTCCAAAGGTAGCCTATTTGTAAGATTTTTTCACCCATTATCTTGGAATTGGTGACTGCAGTGACTATAGAGGCAAGATGGGAATTGGAATTGGAGTAATCATTTTATTTTGGTATAGTCCTTTGCCAGCCCTAGAATGTCTACATAGCATTTCATTGAGCAATGTGAAAGGCCCAACGTCTTGCAGTTTAATTACAAAATAAATGCATATCTTGGGTATGTAAGACTGGTTCACAGTTGCAATGGCCTGTGGCAACACATTCTGGGTATGTTTTTCAGCCAAAGGAATAAAAATTAATCAGTTGTATAGCTTTGGGACTGCACATACAAGACCTTCAATTTAACAGATTAATAGATGGGAAGGAGTGTCTGTTAAAATCAAATTTCTGTTAAATGGTAAATTAGATGTTTTGAGCCAAAACCATACTTGTCCATGATAAATCTTACTGTTCTGAAAACGGTGAATATCCTTTTTGTGTGGAAATAGCAAATATTGTGTGGAATGATGAAACAGTGGGCTTCTGCCCATTGTTTGAGGTGAAGTCTATTATTGCCTAAGATTCAGACAAAAATCATATTCAATAGATTTTGTCCATTAAATCCAAAGTCAGTTTAATCAAGGGTTTACTTGTATGTATGTGTATATATGCTACTACAGTATCTTGAAGATCACTAAACCAAAAGGTACAATATAAAATTTGGAGAAAAATACATCTATGCATTTCAATCACTTTTTAAACTTTTATTATAGGCTGATGCTGATGTCCTTATATAACATTAGTATCAACATGAAAGGTGTGAAGTACATCAGTGAAAACACAGGATTCTTCCCATTACTCTGGTGGCTCCTGAATGGTAGGGTCTTTATAAATGCAATAAATAGAAATGTAAAATGCTTAGTAACATTAATCTATCTTTTTAAACTACTTCTCTAGAGTTATTAGAACAATATTTTATTTATCTTAAATGTTTCCAAGAAATTGTGTATTTTAGAATCACTGTAAAATATAGGATGGTTGTATAAGGGGGCAAGAAAGAGAAAGGCAATAGGATGAGCCCTCTGTGTAAGAGAAAATGTGTCAGAGAAGAGTTTCCCTGCAATTAGCCGGTGATACACAGGATAGCCAAAGTTTAGATTCTGACATGTAATGATGATGCTAATACTAATATAATATATTAGTATTTTTATTATAATATTTAAGGTTAGTGTAACCCCTTCAAACATTCACACACGTTATCTTGTAATTCTTGTAATAGACTTCTAAGATAATTTTCAGAGTTGTCATTTGATATTGCACATGGAATGAATGAGGCTAAGAAAGCACATAATTTTATCAATGAGTTCAAGCAGAGACAACATTCAAATCAGGGGGCTTCCTGATTTGCAACTCAATCTCTTTACTATTATGCTCACTTAGTTCCCCTGTATGCATTCTTTCTGATATAAAATCACAATCTTATACATATTTATTTAGATGTGTGATTGCATTCATTGGAATGTATTCTCAAATAAATGTACATAGGAATGGAAGCTGCAATCCTAAGCATAGAAGACCACTGAACACAGTACTGTATGACTTATTTTAACTAAACATTCATAGGACTGCACTACGTATGTGATACTGCTGTGGAGCCCTGACAAACGTATTACTGTACTGATATTTTAAAAATATGTTTGATACAGTATGATAAAGTTTCCCAGCATTTGAAACTGTGTGTGTGTGTGTGTGTTTATTTATTTCAATCCCGTAATTGTTATTCAGAAGTAAATGTCACTGAGCTAAGTGGGCTTATTATCTTGTAGGCATCTTATACAAGAGAACTTTAGTCAGTCTGTTTTTGATTTTGAACTACTTGTCTGAAGCATTCAAGGGAAACTGATTTATGAGCTAAATATGAAGCCACCATGCTAAAATAAATTATGAGAAAATACTATACTACTATAGTTTATTATTCAACTAATGGCTATCACAAAATTTAAGAACATACTCTGCTGGTATGATGTAAATCAGCCCATCTAGAAGAAGAAATCTAAACTGCAACTTGGAAAAAGGAGGCAGAACAACTGTTGTATTGTCAGGTTTCAGGTAGATACATCTTGCCCAGAAGATGAGCAAGTCAGTTAACCTACCAGTTAGAAACTGGGGTCTCAGTCGCAACACCAGCAGAGAAAGAGCAGTTGCAGGCCCTACCAATTTCTGATCCTGATATAATGGAGTCTGATCTGGAGCTTGAGGCAAAACCTCCCCCTGCCCCTTTGGGAACACCAGATCCAGCATTTGGAGAGCCAGAAGATAGCAAGGTGAAAAGAACTTCATAGGAATTGAAGCCTTGCAGACCCCAGAAAACAGAGCTGCTTGGTTTTTGTTGTGCCTGGATAGAGAGTAAATGAGCCTTGGATATTTAAGGCTCCTTTATAAAAGAGATCCTCCAGTGAAACAAATTCTGTGACAGCCTACCTTAAAGCTATGTGTGGCAGGCTGGACTTGCCAACTGCTTTTTCATACTTGACTAATGTACTTGGACTGCTTGTTTGACTTTTAACTCTCAGACTTATTCAAATTTTGTTACTGCCCAATCCCTTACAACTGATACAGTAAGCTAAAGTCTAATGTACTATATAAGCAAGTACATTTGTATAGGGATTTCCTGATTTATGATTGATCTGCTGGTGCCTGTTTAGGCTGTGAAATGTATGGATATTGCTGTTATACTTAGACAAGTATAAGTGACAGTTGATGAAACCTCCAGGTAAGAAGGCACTGCTTTAGCTACTGGAGAACTTTCACAGTAGATCTGAATGTTACAGTACGGCCAGGTCAAAGCCACAAGGGGGTTGATTACTGATGGTGCAAGGATGCATTCAGTTGGAATATTGAAGGCGAGAGCATAAATCAATAGTAGAAGCACAAATGAAATGTCCAAAATTGCTATTTTAGGAATAAATGAACTTAATAGACTGGAATGGACCACTTTAAATTAGAGGATTGCATAATATACTGTCCACAGCATGAGCTCATACAAAGAAACGAGTGGCAGTAATATCACAAAATTACATTGCTATATATGAACTCAGCTATAATCCAGTATTATATCTACTGCAGATGCAATGATGAAAGACACTGAGGAATTCTATGACAAATAGCAAAAGGTGCTAAATGCAACATCAGACAAGGTTGTAGAACTAATGGGCTAATGAAATGGCAAAAGTTGGAAAAATGGAGGAGCCTGGAATTTTAAGAAAGTTTTGATTGGGCAAAGGCTTATGTTAATGGAGTTTTGCAAAGAGAATTATTGCAGTACCAATACATACTTCAAGCAACACAAACATGGGCTCTAAATATGGGCATCATCAGAACTGTTGAAATCAAATTGACTATATAATAGAAAAGAGAAAGAGGAGGAGTGCAGTCTAGCCAAGCAAGACACCTACACATTTAGATGTAGAATAGACCATATGGGTTAAATGTAGAGAATTAAAGAGAGCAAGGAACAGATTCAGCATGCTTAACTTACATAGAAGAGAACCTGAGAAACTAAGAAGAAATAAGAGACATTGTGAAAACACACACACACACACAGAGAGCTAAAATTTCAAAAAGGAAAAAATCCAAGTGGCTTTCAGAACTCACTCCCATGAAAACCAAAGAAAGATGGAGGTGAAAGTCTTGGGCAAGAACAAGGATGTACAACAACTAAATGCAGAATTTCAAGGACTAGGAAAGATCTCTCAGTCAGGAATGTGAATAAAACAGAAATATAGCAAGAAAAGGAAAAGTTTTTTAAAAGATAAATCACAAGAAAATGTACAGCTAAGGTAGAAATATTCAAGAGCAATCACAGGTAAGATCTAATGGAGGCAAAGAAAGTTTAAGGAGGGTGGAAAGACAATACATAAATGCTTTGCAATATGAGTATTTGTGAAGAAAGAATATATTCCGGAATTGACTCCATTAGAAAGTGAGGTATGATAGGCAACAGACCAGCTGCCTATAGGAAACCACCAGGTGTAAATGAAATATACCTTGAATTGTTTAAAGGTGCAGGAGAATAAGTAATTAAAACACTAACAGATCTATGTCAAGAAATATCGAATCAGGTTGTGTCAGATCAAACATTGGAAAAGATTTATATATAAATCTTTATATGCACACACACACACACCCCTTTACTGAAGAAAGGATGCAAGGGGTATGTGCAGATTACTAAACCGTTGCACTAATTCCTCATGCAGACCAAGTTTTGCTTAAGAATTTAAGTCACACACAGAAAAATCCCAAATGAACAGGCAGGTTTCAGAAAAGTAGAAGGGCATATGGGGAGATAGTTACATAAGCTGGATAATAGAGCAAGAGAATACAGAGGAAGCATTTGATTGTGTAGATTGCGTCAAAATGTGGGATGTATTAAGGCTAATAAGTATGCCAGACCACCTGGTTATTATTCTGAGGAACTTTTATAATGAACAAGAAGCTACTGCAAGGAATGAATTTGAAGAAACAACGGTTCTGAATATGGAAGGGAGTGAGAGAAGGATGCTATTGTCCCCATATCTGTTTAATTTATACAGTCAGTATATTATAAAAATGGCAGGATTGGAAGACATGACAGCAGGAATTACAATTAGGTAGAAACAATTTGAGATATGAAAATAATGCTACTTGAATGGATTTATTTATTTATATGGCTACCCATCCAGTTCATGTGACTTTGGGTGGCTCACAATACATTAAAACCACACAGTAATACCTGCCCCCCCTCATGAAAATTGTAACAACAACAGAACACACTGTAATCCAGGCCACTTAACTCACACCTGCAATAATTCTATCATTCATCTGAGCTCACCTACCACCCTGCCAAACGGCCAGGTCTTTCTGAAAAGCTAACAAGGACACGGGCAGCTGAACCTTGGTTGAATGCTGTTTCAGAGAACAGGTGCCGCAACACAGAAGGCACATTTTCTGGGTCCTGCTAGATGACATTGTTTCGCTGAAGGGACCTAGAGTGTGCCCAGTCTATTGGATCTGGTGGGACAACCAGAAAGAATAAAAGATAGGTGGTCCCAGAAATAAAGTTTGAAAAATCTTACTGTGTAACTCTCACCATCGTTTTACTTAAGATTACTTTTATAACCTACCAGTAGATTGGTATTCTTAAGCTTACTACTCAACAAGAAGTTTGCATTTTCAAAGTCTAGTAATTTAAAATAGCTGCTAAAAATACAGAACTTCCCTAACAAATTTCTACAACACTTGAAAGACCACTGATATACTACTAATGTCTCATCAATAATCACCAGCCAGAAGGAAACCATCCACCATTTCCAATGCAGCTATGATTGCTGGATGGTTTTGAGAGATGGTTAGGCCCCCAGGTTTAGCTATCTCTCAAAAGAAATCCCATATAATTGGTGTTTAAATGCCATTTTCTGAAAGCATAAAGTGTAATACTGCACCTGTGGAAAGAAAGAAGAATCTCAGACTGGTCCTTTCTTCAGAAAGACAACCAGTTCTGAATTGATCTTGGATTCATGTGCCCTCAATAAGCATGTATTTGTATTAAATGTATTAAATTAATTTCCATTTAGGTTACTAGGTTTTGCCAGCATAAAATATTACACAACAGTGCTAAAATGAAAAATTTCTGAAATCTATACTTAAATATCTGTAAAACATTAAATATGTTTTTCAGTTGCTATTCCCAGTTTTTAAAAGCAAGCCTGGGTTAAGTGTCTTAGCTACTTAGAAAATGTTACCACTCAGATTTCTGAAATTTTCACTGTAATGGAACTAATATATCTTAATAGAACAGAAAAATCTACCAAATATCACTGGGAGGAAAAATCATTTTGGACAATAAAGATCAGCCTAAGTTCCAAGATATTGATATTTATACCTTTGTTAGATATGCTTACACATTTTATGATGCAGGACTCTGACCATAATGAACTTTTAACAAACACTAGTGCCAAGTTTATGGTTGCAACTAGCTGGATCTCTTTTTTTTCTCTCTCCTCCTCTCTTTGTGGCTATGTCCAGGTTTTAAGGTGCATAGCTATCTGACCTAAACTCGTATATAAAAGATACTGGGAATTAAAAGAGGAGATAATTCACAAATATCTCAAAATATGTATCCCCAGTAATTCTTGTTTTAATATTCCCACTTTACCTTTTTCCCTTGTTTTGTAGATAGTATCCTGTAAAATTATTACCACTATCTATACAACTCCTAAGAGTTAGTAGGTAGTAGGTAAGCCTCCCCTCCCATATTTAAGCACTTCAGCTAGCAACAGTGAAGTCTCTCTTGTGACTGTATTCTCTCTGTCCATGGTCTCTTATTCCAGCCTGTTTATATGCTTTCTTACATTTAGGTTCTACTGAATTTAGTGAGACATCTCAGCTAAGTTTGATATTCCAGGTATAGGGATGTATTGCTTGCCTGCCACACTGGACCTTTGTCTTTTTTTTTTTTTGGGTGCCTTTGAGTCATGACTCCTGTCAATTGCCTGGAAAGTCCCTGCAGTTTTCTTGACAAGATTTTGAAAGTGGCTTCCCATTGCCTTTTTCCTAGGGCTGACAGAGAGTGATTGGCCCAAAGTCATCTAGCTGGCTTATTGCCTAAGATGGGATAAAACTCATGGTCTCCTAGGTTCTAGCCTGGTATAATATTCATGAGAAAAAATGGAAACTTTATAGTGATGCTTGACTATGGCAGTCATTACTTGGTAGCATGCAAAGCTCTGCCTCTGATGATCAGGGAACGTTACAGGCATATGCTAACTGAATTCACACACTTCCAGGATCTACTGATGATTAACAGTTTGGCATTGATGTAATGCAATTACGTAAGTGTCATTTCAGAGAGTAGTTCATCTGGGAATATAGTGCTAATGACACATGTGACTACAATCTCATTTTGCCTTATCAGTTGCTTCTGTTAATGCTTGAAAGCTAATGACATCAAATTTTACTGGACATTTTATAACTCTGATAAATATTTTAAATATATCATCCAGGAAGTTTTGAAATAGGTGTATATAGACATTTTCATTAAATTATTTAACATTAATTCAGAGCAGAATATTGTGGCTGCAAATGATACAGGAGAAAGTGAAGGGAAAAAAATCCAGGAAATTTTTGTTTTCCCTCTTTTGTCTGAAATAGGAAGTTCTACTCCCTGGAAATAAGCAAGAGAGTAAGACAGTTCTGTGCATATTTCTTGAAAGTCTGCTCAACTTTGTTTACTGTCACATATTATGTAATATATATTGCAGCTGAGCTGATGCATAAGTTCTGAGCAGCCTGGAACTGAAATACCATGGAAGCACTTTAGATAGGTAGGTAGGTAGGTAGATAGATGGATAGTTTTAAACTATAGCATTGCTTACAGAATTCATCAGATTACAGCTCAATTTTGTATTATATAAAATTATTGGAAAAAATATGCTAATAAGCAATATTTGCAAGTGATAATAATGTATAAAACTTCATTTGCATTTAGAGAATGTGCTACATTTGGAATACAGACTAAAGAAATCAGCCATCCTTTTAAAAATGTCTCCATGCATTGCAGAATAAGGGAAGAAGGAGCCTAGATATGCTTTACTGTCATTGTAATTGCATCCATTGGCACAATCAGAATTCCCAGTTGTCTCGAATAGTGTTGCGATTCAGGTTTTTTACCAAACACATTGAACCAGACTGCACTTTCAACACTGGCTTCAAGGTCAGTGGATATTAAAGGCAGCCCTGGGAATGCAGATCTGCTATCTCGGTCTTGTGTGCATTCAGTGAACATGCAGAGGACATTTGTAAATAGGCTGAGTGAAAAAGTTAGTTTCAGAAGGGCTTCACTGGAATAAACATTTAGAACTCTACTTCTTTAAATTCTAACAATAGTAATTATTTATTATTGCTATTTATTGTATTTATATAGTGACCATCTTTCTTTAAAGCCACATAGCTATACTATTTTCTTTTTCTCTTCTAGACCCAGATCCAGAAGTATGTTTTCATGTACTCCGACTTCTCCAATCCATGGTTATGGAACCAGAGATATTAACTAAATCAGCTCTTGAAATACGTGACTCCCTACCACTTCCACGTATCCTTATGCTATCAAAGAGCCGTAATAGAGATCTACAAATTCTGGCCCAAGAACTGCTTGAGGACCTAAAAGTATTAGAAGGTGAAATGTAAGACTCATGCTGAGGATATCATTAACTTTTCAAGCATGTTTTTCAGTTCTGTAGTAATTTGTAAAATATTATACATGCTTTCAGAAATATCTAGTCATTGTAATTAAATGTTTATATATGGTTGGTATTCCTGCACAGGAATCACAAGCATAAATAGCATCTCAGAATTTCTAGGGTTGTGATGTATCAAACCTCTTAGAAATACAGAGTTTAATATCTGGAATGCTGGTAAGGGATGAATACATTCACCAATACTCCCCTCAATCAAAAGCCTACCTGATAGCTAAGGGATATAGTTCAGATTTTCTATTTTCCATATCAGTGGCTTGTTAAGGTAAAATCAAGTACCTTTGGTCCACATTATTCTTCATTTGACTTCCTCTTACTTTAGTGACACTGAGAATAGTCTTTAATTTTTGTCTTTTAACATCAAAAAAGTCCTTAGCTTAAAAATCTAATAAAGGAGGACTTCAATTGTTTGTAAATATTTATATCAAAACTGTGGAAGTTAAATTATCGGGCGTTAGTCTAGGTGGAGGGTTGCTGGGCAGAAGGTTCTGTCTATCTCCCCCCTGGTTTCCTCACACTATATAGGCTTACTGCACTCTGGAAAGGAACAAAAGAAGAACATTCTATTAGAAAAGTGACCTTCTCCTTTCCTGGTATTCTCCTGAGTCCTAGGATTTTTAAAGGGGCTGGCTAGGGAGTAGCATGAGTTGTAAAGTTTCTTTTCCACTGCTGACTATAGGCCTCTACTTATTCTGTGTCTTCCAAAGCTGTACTGAGGAGCATAGTGGTGACTCCTGCAAGTTGCCCCTTGTGTTATTCTAGGGACAGGGAGAGAACAAAAGTGGTGGCAGCCAACAGTGGGAGGAGTACCACTGGCATAGGTCACAGCTCATTTTGCCCAAGCACCACACCCATAGTAGCCTGGGTACAAGCATTCTCTTAGGTTACTGGTCTGGCTGGTTCAATCTAGTGATATCGTACTTCTTGCTCTTTAGTGCTTCTGTGCTTTCTCCTCACTGCTTCTGTGCCACATTCCTACTTTATCCAGAGGTATTCAGGGTCAATAAGGGGAACAGAGAAGATAGCTACTGCTGCCCCTGTATCTGTGCTTTTGTAGAGTGCTAGCCAATTTGAAAAGGTAACTAGCATTTAAAAAAAAGGACTAGCCATTTAAAAAGAGGCTAGCATCAGTTGAGTTGTTCTTTTTTCTCTGTACTTCAAGCCACCAGCATTTGCCTGGCCATGATGGATATTTGCTAGGCCTGGTTGTCAGTATGGACATAAAAATTTGTCAGTAACAATTTTTTAATGATCACTTATTAAGAATATAAGAGTGTCTGGCTATGCCTTGCTAAAATGAACAAGGAACGCTGACTTTGTCCCTTAGATATTCTTTCATGTTCTTTTTATGTTTTGTATAAAATGTTGCAGTGTAGCCTTTTACCAGGGCAAGTTCAGTCTGAATGGGGGGCATTTTTATTGATAGGTTTCCCTGTCTTCTCCTCATGGTTGTCTTTGCAGTGAAAATACCAATCTTCTGAAGTTGTACGCCTAGTTATATTAGAGTGATGTAAAGATATTGCCCTCTTCAATTGTCATAATTTAGATATTTGAAACATGCCAATATAAAGGCTGAATATTAAAATACTGAAAACATTCATTGTTGGACATAATGTAAATAACTTAGTTAACTAGTTCTGCATTTCTCTGGGTTCCTTTTTGAGCAAAGGCACACATTTATTGTGGGCAGGAGATATCCAGAATGAATAAAAGCAAAACATGGATTTTGGAATCTGCTCTATTTCTTTTGCCCTGCTGCTCTTTTCAAGCTCTTGCCCTGTTACTTCTTTAGGAATGTATCTGAAGAGACATGTCCTAAGAATGTAACTTATTTATGGAAATTGGCTTTAATTGCTTATTTTTATAAGTTCTGGTTTTCTTCTGAGAGGGGTTTTAGCTTTTGAAATTCAGAAATTATGAACAATACAATTTAGTGAAGATGCAGTTACATTGTGAACAGAATATTGAATTGTTGTGTATTTATGGAAAGAAGTAACATGCATAGTTCCTAATTATAAAAATGGTTTTGAGTGTTTGAATATTCTTAGTCCTGGAACGTTAACATTTCCCTTTCCCCCCATTACAGTATGTTGCCATTTTGGCTTAAAACTGTTAGAAGGCAAATATGTAATACAATGAATAAAATTGCATTTGATTATATCCAAGCTATCCTGGTGTCTCAGTGTTTCAGACTATTGAAACATGATGTTCTTTAAAGCTTTTACTGCTGGAAATGCACCAGAACAGATATGTATTGTTTATTAAGTTTTTTATTTGCCTTTTTCTTTTTTTTTTGCTTACTTGTCTGGGACTTCATATGTCCAAACTTTAAAAAAAAACCAAAGAATAATTATGACCAGGAAGCTTATTGAAGATCAAATGTGCCATGTGAAATATGATTACCAGTTACTTAGACGATTTATTAAACCCCCTTATTCAACTCCAGGTCTCAACAATACTTAGTTTTTCATCAGGAGCTGTTTACTATTGGCTGTGTTTACATGATACTTTCATTATGGTTAGCCAAACCATTGCTTGTTAACCCAATTTTCTGCATGTATACAACATGTTGAAATTTAGTATCTCTGCTGTTTCCCTTTCCTGGGCAGGGAATAAGACTGATAGTGATGTATTGAATTATGTCCATTCAACCTTGCTGAATTCTGGTTTCAGATCTTATGCTGACAGTATGTAGTGCTGACCTGAAATCTGTAAGTTTGTAATTTCAGAGTAGTCAGAAGTTTTACTTTCCAGACCCTTCATCTAGCAAGAGATTAATCTTAGTTAGAAGCAAGGAAGGAGGTGCCCCCTTGGTAACCTTGATGTTATAACTCTGAAAGGCAGAGACTAAAAAAAGCACACATTTCATAAAAAATAGGCGTCACATCGCCATAATGTATGAAAGTGATCTAGTGATTTGAATCTAAAAATCAACTGGAAAACCAGTTCTGTAGAAAGAATGTCCCTACTCACTGGAGAAAGGGAACACCAAAAGAAGGCTGGTTAAATGACATGATAAAAATTACTTGAGTCAGCCTGATAAGGGTAAGTTACATGGTATCAATTTATATAGCCTTAACTAGTCAGTGAGGAATTACTAAGTTACTCAACACTTCATTGAGATGTAGGTGAATAATTAACAGGAATAATACATGTATTTAATTTTTAAAAATAGGTCTTCTGAGACCCTAATGTGATTTTAGTTAGTAAGAGAAGTTAATAATAGCAAAAAATAAGAATTGTCATATTGCAGGCTGTCCTGTTTCTCCACCTCTACTCCCATTTATGTGGCCAATGGTATATTAGTCTTTTCTTGATGCCTCAAAAATAACACTACCCATACTCATCTGGCACTGACAGTTTTATTTTTGAGGCATCAAGAAAAGTCCACCCTGTTCTAATGTTTAATATTCCTTTAATTTGTTTAATTTTTTTATTTTATCTAATATTGTACGGCATTTTTCCTCTGTTGTTGTGTTTTGTGGAGCCCTTGGGGTTCTCTGAGCTTGGTTCTTATCTTGCAAATGTTTCATTATCCAGCTAGGTAACATCTTCAATGCTAAAATGGGATGGGGTTTGCTCTCTATTTATATACTG